TTCCTTCCTTCCTTCCTTCCTTCCTTCCTTCCTTCCTTCCTTCCTTCCTTCCTGTGTGGCAACTATTCTCACAGCTTTGGTCAGCTCCTTCATTCGTGTCTGCCCCGCATTTACTTCAAAGGCCTCGTTTCTAATCATTGGGGGGGGGGCTCTCCCCTCCCGTGGTCCTTTTGGCAACATATTCTGGACTCTTCCCCCCCCCTCTTTTTGTGGTCAACAGCCAGGCAGTTGTCATCCTCTGCGTGAACCAGTCGCCTGAAATGCAAGTCCTTTTCCCGAGGTTGCGAAATGGTCAAACGGCTCCTTGCTGGTGGGTGTTTTTATCCCCCTCTGGTATCGACGGGGGTTTGGGCTGGTGGTGGTGGGTGAGCCTCTGCTCACCTCGGATGGCCTTCACCCCAGGTGTGAGCATCTCCGATTTGGCTACTTGGGCCAAATTCTCTGCAGAATCTCTTTTCCTTTGGACCCAATAAAATATCTCTCTTTTTTTTTGTAAGCACCAGCTTCTCTCCTGATTCTCTCGCCTCCCCCTGCCCATCTCCTCCCATAGAAGCACAGAAGTTGAGCTGATCAAAGAGACTTCCGGAGGGGGGGGGGATGGACAGGTTTCTTTAGCTCCAAAATCCTGGCGTGTCCCCCCTCAGCACCAAACTGGCTGATTCAGGAGGATTCAGCTTCTGTCCTACACACTTATGGAGATCCACCTGCACGATTCCATGGAGACATCTGGAAACCGTTGCTCAAGTGGAGCGAGCTTTCTCTCAGAAACCAAATGGTAGACCCCCCCCCCCGGGGTTGGGTTTTTGGGGTGTTTTTTTTGGCATTATCTAGGCCACGTGCAAATGATCTGTCCTGCCCTCTTTACCCCTGAAATACCTTGACGTCCTTCAAGCCTTGGGAGAAGTTTTTGGCAGGTGCGTTTGTTCAATCGTTGGGGCAGAGGTCCTTTCCATGTGGGAGCCAAGAGGGCGAGAATGTTCCCCGATGGACGTTTGCTGATTACGATGGAATCGCCGTCTGCAAACCGCAAAAACCGGGCCGAGAAGTTTGGGTGAAACTTCTTAGAGGCCTTCGGGTGGTATCTGGAGGAAGACGCCTGCTTCTGGAGGTGGAAGACTTCCAGGTGGAGGCAGCAGTTCAAGGGCCCGACTTCTGCAGGTGACTTTAATGGATCCATTTCAGGATTTCTGCCTTGCGGGGTGTCCAACCACTGTCTGTCCCTCGAGCATCTTTAGGCGTGAGCAACACAGCTCCCCTTCCGGTCAAGCTCATCTTCAGACAGGCTGATGTGCAGGCAGGTTTCATTGATGCTCAAGAAGGCTCGTGAGGCATCCCAGTTTTCAGCTGCTTCCACCCACGGATGGGCTTCTGTGGGGCGCCCAAGACTCTCCTGGCCTTGGGTCTTGGCACGGGCACCAGGCGTCGGGCTTCCCCCTAGTGTCCTGGCTTCAGATTCAGGCCTAGAGACCAGGCCTGGGCTGCTGAGCAACGAGGGTTCAGGGGCGGCCCTGCAAGACGCCCCAGTCTTCTCTGTCTCCGAGCAGGGAGAAATGGTTTTACTCGACCTCCTCCGCAGGGTCGGTGGAGGTGGGTTCAGCTTGGGGATGAACAGCTGCAACCTGTCAAGTGAGGATGGGAAGCGGGTCAGAGTCAAGGCCAGTCATGGTTGGGTGTGGAACCTCAACCGGAGAAGGAAGCCATTCGCGTTTGGGTTGGGTCAAGGCAGAGCAGAACCAGCCCAACTTACCTTTCCTTCAGCATCACGGCGTCTGGACCACTGCAAGTGGGTTGCGTGCTTCCGTTGGGGGCGCTGCACTCCTCCGCCTCGGATCCCTCCACACTGCGGAGACCGTCAGGCCCTTCTAGGACTGCCAGATGTTCCTCTTTCTCCAGCCTGCTGGACAGTCCGCTCCCCAACCCCAAGTTGGTCAGGTTCTGGTGGGATTCATAGGAAGCCAGGTGCGGCGTGGGGCTTCCCACTAGGCTGGCTGGTGTTGAGGTGGAAGACAAGTTGATTTCCAGACTGTAGTGGTCCTTCAGGTTGAGGGAGAGAGGATGCTCCGAGCTCAGGTTCTGCAGAGAACGCTCGGCTGGAGACGAGAGGAGGAAGGCCTGGTTCAGAGACACCTGGAGCCCGGTAGGTTTTGTGCCGTCTTGTAAGAAGGTGTTACTCTGGGGTAACCAGGTTTGTTCTGACCCGATCTCTGGTGGCTTCCCTTCCTTGCACTTCTGCTCCCACCCGTCTTTCTCCCTTCCGCCTCTTGAGCCCCTCAGCGCTCTTGCTCCCAAGGAGCAGGTGGCAAGGGAGACCCAACCGCCTCGCCTGCACCCATCCCTTGCTCACCCGGACGCCGCAGCTGCACCTTGATCTCCAGCTCCTTCAGTTGCCTCACCAGCAAGGAGACGTGTTGAAGGAGGTCGCGATTGGTCAGGAGCAGCTGGCGCACACGCGCCTGGGCCTCCACGCGGGCTGTGCTCTCGGCGGACAACTGGTCCTCCAGGAGCTGCACCTGTTGGAAACAGGATGTGCATCTCGCGTGCCGGGCATCTCCTCACTGCCCCAGCAGACCACGCCCAGAGGTGGCACGTTCTAATCAGGGATGTTGCACCAGGTGCCCAGGCCAGGTAGTGGGGCACCTGGTTAGAGGGCAGCTGGATCTCGCTTTGCAGTTTGGACGGGTGGAAGATTTATGTACTGTCTGCCGTGACGTCCATGTCAGGAGGACGCTCGACTGTAGGAGTCCCTGCAGACTCTGCTCCGTCCCCCCTTGGGGAACCCCGGTTGGACTCGCAGCTCCCACAGAACCACTGTTGCCAGTAGTTCCACAAGCCACCCAGGTGGGCTGCCTGGAAGCCTCCTTCAGGGGGGACCCAAGTGAATTATAACTGAGGAGCAGAGCTTTTCCAGAGGAAAAAGAGGACGGGTGCCCAGGCCTGGGAACTTTTGCACCCAGGACAGAGAAGGCTTACCTGTGCGACAGCCACCTGTGTCTGCTGCTGCTGCTGGAAGAGCTGGTGTTGGAGCAGCTGCAGGCAGTGCTGGGAGGCGAGTGGGGTGGTCGAGGCAGAGGAAGAGGGGCTCCCTGCGCTGCCGAGGGGCTGGGCACAGGAGGGCCGGAGACCACCGTTCTCCGTTTCCTGGAAGCCAAGAGAGACCAGAAATAGGGGCTGCTCCTTTCTCTCCCCCACCTTCCCCGGAAGCCCCACGGATCCAGCTTCCCTGATTCCTTTTCATGGCTGTCCTCAAGGAGTCACCCACCTGGCTGTCCCTCGCCTTGGGGCTGAGCCCGTTTTTCAGCTCTCCCAGGTCAGGCACGGAGAAAGGCAGCTCACAGACCCCGCAGTCGGGGAGGCACACACTTACTGACCCGGCCAAGCCGAGGTCTCGGTCAGCCAAGGCTGGTTCCAGTGGTTGGAGACCTTTGGGGAACACAACCAAAAAAGTAAGACCCAGCTGGCATTCTGGCTTTGGGGAACTATGGATCGCCTTGAAACCGTGGGGGGGGGGG